CGTATTACCATTCTGTCATAGTTGTTTGGCAAAACCGTAACACCAACATTTCTCATTCTCTGGGCCCTACAGTTCAGATAGGCCGTTGCACCCGACAAAAACCGTGTTTACTTTCTCAACATTTCTGAAGGCGAGCTGATATATCATTGATTGCATTAGTGGTCACCATGGTGTCAGGTCTCAAACAAATACAACGAGTAATGAAACTTTGGGCAAAGTATCCATATCTCTATTTTGTAACAAATAAACTTGGTGACGTCCGTTTTCCCGTTTTGTCTCAGTTTTGACAATGCGAATAAAAACGTAGTTTCTATCATCTAAAGAAACAAACATCCCATCCCTGAACCTAAGTCTCGTACAAATTTTGTTCAATAGGACACTGAACGTCAAAATGTTACAAATGCAAAAAATTGCCAGTTGATACCGTTTGGTCCCGACTTACCAATGAAATTGATTAACTATCCCTGTGCTGGAATCCCATTTCCCAGATGGTCACTGATGCGTCATAAATCGGGCGATGAAAATCGGTCTACCGGTGAGACAGTCCCTATGAAAAGCCTCCAGTCGGAGTGCACAGAGAGGTTTTATCTGCTAGGAAAAAAGATCAAGACACACACTTTGTTCATGTTGCTTAGAAAGAAATTAGACAAGAACCAAATGTTGGTAAAATTCTGCATCTTTACTCAGTGATACTGAATTTGCGTTGGTTCTTTCACTTGTCTCTTTCGACTTTTCCCCATACACCATTTTTGTGGTCGTGGAACGCNTCCGATCGTGTACTAATGGAGTATATTCAACAGTAAAAAGAAGTTGACCAATTCATTAGCATTACTGCTATTATAATTACTATTATTGTAGACGTGTTGCGTGGTCAATTTATCTGAAAATATAAGGCTTCCACAAAATCTATTGAGCGTGATCAACACTCATGTTCACTAATAATACAATTCAAAATATAATAGCGACATGACACCAATGGAGACTTTGATTTGTCTATATGACCAATTCTTGGTGAATATGCTTTGTGAGCTGAAAAGCTCGGGAGTTCTGGACACCGGCTCTGGTCCGTTTGGGTCTCATAGCATGACCCATCTTTACTAGCTTGTGTAGGACAACGTATCTCGCTCATCTGAGCACTAGCCTCCGGGGTTATGATTCAGTTGAAAACTTTCTGTGGTGATCCCAGCCTGCGAGTTGACGCATGCCCTAGAATGATGCGTTACAGTTTTCGGACAACTGTGATGAGCCAAGCTTCAGGGGTGACGTAAACAAAGCGCATGCGTATCATAGGTTAGGGACTGCATACCATAGGTCGACCGTACCAGCCAATGAGAACCTGTACGGCATACACCGAAGATGAACAACGGCAGAAATACTACAACGCGATTGGTGGAGGCCCGAATGACCATGGCTTTGTTTTTACATATTTATTTAAACCCCATGATCTCTTTCAATAAATGAACTGCTGTTCCTGTGGCCTTTTCCTCGATTCTCAGTTACGTGGGATACTGTTTCACTGCTAAAAGTGTGATTCAGTGCTTACGCGGCGTCCGTAATTTCTAATACGTGATTCGTAGTTCCTGATCAGTGCGTACTTCAAATACTACGATTTGGCCTCTCGCGATGGAGCTTCCAGCTTTTGAACAACTGAACCTGCCTGCCAGTCCATCCGAGATCGAGGAACAGGTAGAACGTTTCGAACTGGTGTACAGTATACGCAAAAGTGGCGCACAGAACCAGTAAGTCTCACTGCTATCAACCGTGACCTCTTACGCTCCCTGCTGAAGAACTTGGCATTCTCTGAGACTCCGGCTAGATTGTCTTACGAGCTCTTCAAGACGCTGCTGCTTCTCAACCACTTGCTGTCCACTGATTTCCAGGCACATGAACGGGCAAAATTCAATTCTTTGTTTGGTACCGAGAATGTCACCAGCTGCGATTTCATCCTGCAGCTGAACAGGCATGCCTCCCGGTGGAATTACGAGGGTCGTTTGGAAGAACAACTGTCTGACTACTTTTTGGCAGGCCTAAACAACTTGACAATCCAAGGAAAGTTGCTGGAAAAGATGGATCTAATTTAGATGGTAAATATTTGGATTAGCCAACATCATCAATTGAAGCTGATTCCTGTGAAAAACCGAATGGGCTAATGTAAACATTCACCATCTAAATTGATTGAGCCATTTGAGCACAGGTGGTAATCGTCGACCATGTACCTCAGGGGTAAAGGCTTAAAGTCCTAGTCAGACCATTCGCGGTTCGAGGCCTGACAGGGACACAAAACGTACGCACTGTTGACGAGTCCCCCAAACAGGAAGAAACAGCTCTGTCCATTGCTCTTTGTCGGTTATCACAAACATTTCGACCGCATTTAAAAGAAGAATCTAACGTTCTCAGAGGCACGAAAAACCTGCAAACAATATGATGATCTGACAAAAGCGACTTCCGACTTCTTTCGGGTTTTTATCCCCAAGGCATAATTGGACGAAACTGATGGGGTGTCCATTTGTACGGAACTGATGGAACAAACGCATTCCCCCTTGATGCCGTAGTTCTTCTGTGCTGCAACTTGTGTCCGCACGACAGAACAAAGTATGTACACAGTTTCTTAGGTGACACGTGGGATGGTTGCTATCGTAGTTCAGTATCTGATCGATTGTTGTCGGTAACCTGTACCCAGTGGTTTCTGTGTTTCCGTCTGGTTTTCGTATTAAGAGAACATCCGGGAGAGGGAGCTTCATATCGTTTTCCTCTTCTCGAACAAATACTGTCCCTGGCATAACCTTGTTTGGGGAATTGCTCAATTCCTGCTACTGGTAACATCACAATGGTGTCGTCCACGTATGGGATCCAAGGATGAGGACAGTATTCGTCAAATGCCTTTGCCTCAGATTGTTTCAATTCCGCATCAGATAGTAAACCGCAGATCGCTGATCCCATTTGGTACCTGTCGATGTATCCTCGCGTCAAACTATAAGTGCAGAGTTCAAGATGATCCATCATGTCAGTCACTGACAGTGGTGTACTTTCTGGAAGATGAGGATCATCTTTGCTCAGATTTTGTGTGCTCTCGAGAACTATTTGCATCGATATGTTTGTAAACAGAGATGCGAAGTCCAAGAACACGAATTTTTTCTTTCAGTTTCAGATTTAGTTCTCTTATTCAATCCAGGGATGTAACTGAGTTTAATGTATCATTATCTGTTCATATATATGTATATATATAATTTTGATCATTCACTCATTACGTTATCACTACTTACTTTCTAATAACTGTATATATTTCATCACTCTGTTAGACTAATTCCATTTTTCAATGTGTTTCTCTTCGGAACAATGATCATGGTTTGCCATGTGGATGCATAACTCCTATCCCGATATGACTTACATAGATTATTTAAATGTTGTTTATTCATTACTCGATAAATAATATTCTAAACCAGTATGGGGCACTGTCTACATAACTGACATGTACTAATCACCCATCCACATATGTATCACCAACTGCTTTCACGCCGTAGCACCCTCCGGGTCTATCAAATACTACCCACCACATACATTGTATGTTCATTATTTACGTGACTAACATAGGGTTTAACTGGGTGTAAGCCTCAGATGTGAAATATCATACGAGGGCTGAGCAAACGTTTTGCGGATGTACAAAACGTTTTATTTGCTACACAAAATGAGCATTACATTTTCTCGAGGCAGTCTCCACTACCTTTCATGAAAGCACATTTCCATGCACAGAAAACATTTAGAGAAACTGTTCAAACATGCCGAAGAGGGGAACCAATCGGCCAGTTAAATAAAAACCTTGACTGTAGCTGTTGGTGGTTCGTATCGGATTCCACGCAGCATACGCTTGATATTTGAGGGCACGAAAAGGTCATATGGAGCCAGGTTTGAACTGTACGGTGGGTGACGAACCTCTTGACTATCTTCTTCAGCCAGAAAATCACCAACAACATGGGGACTGTGTGCAGGTGCCTTGTCATGGTGCAGCAAGTTCCCTCTTGCTTGAGTCCTTGGACGACGCCTGGCAACAGCTTCCAGCATTTTCAACATTGCACTCACATCGGAATTTCTGAGGCGCCAGCCCACCAACCGGCGGTCTCTGAACCGATTCTTGCTTGGTTCACCAATGTCTCCGATGATCTCCCAAACTGGCTTGGAACGTCCAACATCAGACCTGGCAAGTATGGTTTGGCACCAATACACCGGAACCTATTTATGTTCCACACTGTGCTGATGAGATACCCCGCGTGCACAAACCTTTCTGGGGTCGAGATTCTGATGTGGGACAGTGCGGATTGATCCCGATGAGATCCCGATTGCTCTTGTCAACTGTGCAACCCATCCATGCATCCCCGTCGATTACGGTCTGCACAGTGGCAATCATGTTTGTTGTGGTGGACAGGCCGACAACATCGTGTCTCATCAACCACAGGTCGCATGTCACACTTCAGTTCCGCAAACTACTCAAACACACTGCTTCTTGACAGAGCGACATCACCAAAGGCAGCGTGCAAACAATCAACACTCTGCCTCTGCTATTTTAAATCCCATTTATAGTCGGAGAAAATCATCGCCCTTCAGTGCTATCACCCTAAGTTTCATCCTTACAGTCCGAGTAAAGAGACACTCGTGTGACTTGTGAGCTGTGCTCGTCTGTGTTGATATTTGGTTCTGTGTGAGTTGCAATCACTGAATAATATGCAATCCACACAATCGAGATTACAGTTCACGTTTTCTTTGCCCGGTCATCTGCACCTCGTACTCATCGTGTACACTGCCTATCCGGAAACGTTTTCGACAGTCCATATTCATGCTGAGCATATCATAATCAATCCGCCCTGCAAGATGCTGATGATCGTTCATCCCTGAGTGAGAACGACTTAAAGAAAACAGCAAGATTTGGCTCAGTTTTTTTCACAGCTTTTACAGCCAATTAGGTCATGACAAAGATAAATTGCTCACACCAGTCATAGATTGACTGCAACCAGGTTTATCCATTTGCTTTTACCACTTCATGTTCATTGAATAAAGACAATTAAATCTTGTATTCCTATTCTTGTCGTCATTATTAGCAATCACTGATCCATAATCGTCATCAGACCTCAAATCTGAGGGGATTCTGTTTTCCAGGAATGGCATGGATAGCGCGGTACCTCTCAGTAAAATAATTATAATACAATTATGCTAACTGAGCCCTATTCGGATTATTTTCCAGTTTTCAACAGCGTAAATAGCCAAGCTTAACATAATCTGAATTTCGTTTATCCGATTTGTTATTGAGGGCTCACCTAAATTTCCGGTTGCAATTTCTTGCATAATACAACAAGAACAAAAACGTTCAGACAACGTTCTTGCAAAACAGATTTGATGCAGTCCAGTTTCAGTCCACATTGTCCATAGATTGTGTAAATCAGTAGCGATCGGTGCTAGATCCCCATTCCTCATCGTCTGATATGATTCAGACTAAGGTTGATAGTGTACCCCTGTTTTGTCTGTCGTTGTACCCTAATCTTAGCATAAAACTATATATATATATATATATATATATATATATTTGGACTCATTGTTTTATGTCAATAATGCCATGGAAACTGCAAACATTGTTAACAAATAAACCTCAAGGACATGACAAAAAGTCTCCGGTTCTCCACCATTGGTCACATAGTTCCATTTATGTTTCCAGACCACCGAACAAACACGATAGGACACAAAAAGTAGAATACTGACAGAAAAGATAAAGTTTAGCATGAAACGTGGAAACATCCCTTCATTCATTACACAATATTACAGTGAAAGTACAGTGAAACGGTCAAATCCTCATAATCACAAAGTTTTACATAAAGTGGAGAGTAGGGGAACGATCACGCGGGGGAGACGGTTTATTGATTTTGACTTCAAGGTCANGGTCAAAGGTTGAAAATTGGTGGGAAAGGCAGAGATCGGAGGAAGGAGTCCAAAAATTTTCACAGTTCAGTGAAAATAAAGATTGAAATAGAGAAACATGATATGTGAAGACCGACAACTATCAAAGTTAACATCCAGGAAACGAGTTAGTGAGCGAATATTTGTTTTCGGATATTCCTAGCCATGTTCTTAAATATCATATAGTGGAAAATTTCTTACATAATGATAGTCATTGGCTCAATTTAAAGTTAATATTCGGAGGCAGAGAGTAATGGGAGTGTATGCTTCTGTCCGTGTGTGTGTGCGTGCGTATAGGAATGTCTAGCGTGTTAATTGATGTAACCTTTCCCCATTTGGGTCAATTGACACGTCATGTTCAGTCTTGGTTTTCACACCCGGCCAAGAGCAGTTGGAGTCAGATTTGATTATTTGGAGTTGCATGGTGGCGATTATTGTAGGAGAATTAACAGTGGAGAGTGTCTCCATTGACGAAGTCCTGAATACGGTTAACAGTCTTGGAAAAAGGCCATTGATTAATATAAAAGCGGATTGGTTCGAGCACTGAACATTGGGGAATGTCCGCATTCACAGACACCGGTTGAGATGGAACCTCGTTTACTTGGAAGGAGATTGTTTGCTTACTGCGGAAATGTGGCATTCACGATACGAGAGCTGTGGGACCTCGAACATGGGAATTTTTACCAATACACCGTGTCAAGTGTGACTGAAAGCTTTTGAGATTCGGCGCGAGAGAGACCGAGTGTGTTTCTCCGTGATTGTCGAGTGCAGTCAACCAGGTCACCGATGGCAAAGAGCTCACCAATCCTTCGCGCTTGCAGAAGGTGCACAGTTGAGCGAAACTGACCATTTGAAATTCCGTCGAAAGAACAAATGTGAGGAAAATGGATTTGGCTATTATGGAGGCCAAAAAGATCATCGCGTTTGGGATGGGATAGCGTGTTTAAAAGAGGTCAGACACAGTACAAAGTTGGAGAGGAACACAAATGCGAAGACGTACAGCATCAATCGACTGAGGGCACAAAATTTGAGGACGGTGAATGGAACCGAATCCGGACCGAATTGGTTTAGTTACATTTAGTGAGTGCAATGTATGTTAGTTTATGCAAGTGCTAAAACGAAGTAAGAATAGGGTTCGTGTTGAAATAAGAGGGAGACGGATTACGATAATCGGTTGGATAAGTTGAAGAGGCAAAACTTCCGCCTTTGACGTGTGATCGAGTTAAAATACCAACAGAAGAGTTACAGGTAGGGGAAAGTCTGAAACTGCGAGTAATACTTTTGGCAAGGGACTACAATTTTTGGCTGCCATTCGTTTTTTTTTGCATGAAGGCGGGGAAAGCGTTTTCCAGTTCCGTGTATGATTGTTGCAAACATGATTCTAGCTTGCCTAAAGCGATGGCGGGAGGCATGAGTGAGTCCAAAGTGGCAGTGGTGGGCAGCTGAGCACTTATGAGCATACAGTTGAATCGCACGAGCGCTTAAACGACTCTGGGAATTTGGATTTTCCGGGTTCAGAATAGTGCGGAATAACAATGCAATAATAATAATAATAATAATAATAATATTAGTGGTCCTGAAAGACCCGTGACTGTTCTTCGCGCAGCGATAACCCAGATGATAAAAACCCTAGCGCACTTGCTCAGAAAGTGAACCTTCGAGATTATCAAGGGGTTTCAAGTCTGGGCTATAGGTTTCTCATTGCATGACCTTGATTTAACAAGATAACAGCTAACAGTACTGTATGAACAATGGACCGGAGCAATATCATGCTGAAATATGGCCTCTTCTGACCTGTTCGACTGATCGTTCCATGAAAAGAAAATCCGTTCAGATGTTCCACGATACACAAGAAGCCTGAATATACATTCATTTGTAATTTGTACGTTTTAATCACTGACGAAGAAGTCTACCATTGTCATTAGTGAGAACGCGCTATCGTTTATTTGTTTACACACTGTTTTCCCAGTTCTTATAACATGCCAGCAATAATTTCAAGCACACTGTCCATCCAAACCATAATTTGGTGAGCGAATCGGGCATTTGTTTGCACTTGTTTATTTGCATAGTGTGAGTGTTTCATCCCTTTTCAAACATTTGTTTTTACAGTGTAGTGCAAGAACAACCTGTGAACACCGAAAACGCACACCATTTAACAGGCTGAATTGAATCATAATTTCGAACGCCGGAATAAAGATTGTGTTCCATACGGTTAGATGAATTTAACTGCACTCGTCCGGCTAAATTTAGTTTTAGGAACTGTTTGTTCTCTTTTCAGATGCAATGCCATTGTAAGACTGTAAATCTTTTCATTAGCTATCTTTTGCTCGCTCACGGAGGAGATCCCATTTGGGTGGAACACACAGCAGTTTTGTTCTTCACGAAATCGATGTGGCTTTGCGCATCAAGAATCTTGATGTGCGCTGTGTTCCGTTGAATGAACCTGCTGATGATCTGAAGAGCCTGGGAAGCACTGGACTGGTTCTAATGCTGAGATGAGAGAGGTGCGATGCCCACAATATGCTCGCAAAGATGGGTTGTGCTATATCGTGTAATAATCGAACAGTGCAGCTGTTCGGTGATCGAGTGGGTAGTATGCTTACGTTCCCCTTGCAAAGTCCAGGGTTCGATCCCCAGTTGAGTCGATAGATTCGCATTACTGATGAGACCCAATCGGGTCGAGACAGCTGTCCAGTGTTTTCGAGCTTTTCAATTCACGTCCCATTTACTCCATACACGACAGATTCCATCAGTGAAATCAACCAATGTGTTGCATACAACGAAAGTAACAAATGTGGTCAAACGCAGTCGAAAATCCGACTATGGGACCAAAAGGTTTAGTAAAAGGCAATGTGGCATACCATTCATCTAAACAGAAGCTCCCCTGCGTAATGCCTTTTTTGAAGACAGTTGATTACATCATTCTTAGGGCAGGAGTGGTACCCAGACTATTTCAAAACTCGTCTCCGTCAAGACTGCAGATTTCAACTCTACTTTGAAAAATATTTGCCAATATTTATTCTTCCCTTGCGCTGTTTAAACGTATTTACTCACTCGTTTTGTGTATTACCACTCACCTGTACTGTTCCCTAGATTTATTTGCTGGTCTTAGAGTTACAGTTACTACGCAATTATTTTACACACTGGCGGTATTCCCCAGTCACACATGCTCCACTTTATCGCCGACAAACATTTGGCCTCTTCCGAACACCTATACACAGTTATTCTCTATCACATATCCCTCTCCGATCACACATCCAAAACTTACCATGTGTATCCAATCCCGTAACCCAGTGTCCTCATAAACCTTTATATACTCATACGACTGGAACATATTCCTTACCCATCACTGACAGACATAATCTTTTCCTCTGAAAGGATAAAGGCAAAGCTCCTGGCTTTGAAGAAGAACTCATCACCGGGTTTAGATAATATTCATCCACAAGCCCTTATCACCCTGGC